CAGACAAGCCTGGTGGGCCAGATCGGACGATCAACAAACTCTTGATAACCTTATCAATGTTTTGACATCTGATGAGCACAGAAGAAAGCTTCGGCAAGAAAAGGTGGACAATTTATCGGCATTGATGGCAACCAAGTTGAAGGTTCAAACCAAAGGTGCAAGTGGAAGTCAACATGGTGATAAGCAGGCCAAAGATGATGTCAAGTCCAACCAGAAGGGAAAGAAGTCTACCTTCAAGTGCTACGGTTGTCAAGGAGTTGGTCATTTTCGAAGAGATTGTCCAACAGTAAAGAAGAAGAAGAAATCTGGTGATGTGGTCTCTGAAGGTAAAAATCAAGCTTTCGTTAGCGAAGTCTTCAATGCGGAATCCAAGAATGAAGATTGGATCATCGATTCTGGTGCGACTGACCATATGACTTTCAAGAAAGAATGGTATACATTCTTTGAAGCTTTCTCGATTCCAGCTGAAATTCGTATCGGGGACAATTCAGTGATGCGTGCCTTGGGAAGAGGAACTATCAACTTCGAAGCGCTTGTGAATGGACATTGGACTCCTTGTTACATGGAAAACGTGCTGTATGTTCCTGATGCCCGAAGGAATCTGTTTTCGGTCACGCGTGCGCTGGATAAAGGCATGACATTCAGCTCTTCCAAGGATAGATGTGAGTTTCTGCTGAATGGTGTTGTCAAGGCGCAAGGTGTACGCACTGGTCAACTATTCAAGATGTTGCTCAGAGTCAACGAACCGTACACGTGCTGTGTGAGTGAAGCTAACCTGGCGTTCAAGGACTCGCTTCAAGTTTGGCATGAACGTTTGGGCCATCAAAACAAACGTCATGTTGCTCAGGTACTCAAGAAACACGGAATTCATGTGAAACCTGATGATGAGTTCTGTGGATCCTGTGTAGAAGGTAAGCAACATCGACAAACGTTCAACTCACGTCAACAGCGATCTTCTGAGCCAGGTGAGGTGATTCATGCAGATGTCTGTGGTCCAATGGAACAGGAGTCGATTGGTGGTTCCAGATACTTTGTCTGTTTCACGTGTGACTACTCAAGATTTCGCCTGGTGTACTTCTTGAAGAGGAAATCTGAGGTGATTGACAAGGTCAAAGAAATGTTGCAGTTTGTGAAGAATCAACGTGGTCGACCAGTTAAGGTGTTCCAGTGTGACGGAGGAGGAGAATTTGTAAATGGAGCGATTCAAAATCTCATGAAGTCTGAAGGAACGAAGATGGTAGTCACCAATCCGTACACGCCTCAACAAAACGGTTGTGCTGAACGATCAAACAGAACAATTGATGACCTAGCACGTACTATGCTTGTTAGCAAAGATCTACCGAAGTTTCTGTGGGCTGAAGCTGTCAACGCGGTGGTGTACATCCTCAACCGAACTGGTCCAAGTTCTGTAGAGGGTAAAACTCCTTACGAGTTGTTCGTTGAGAAGAGCGTTCATCTGAACAGGTTCCATATCTTTGGAACCGTTTGCTACTTGATGGTGCCCAAAGAACGTCGGAAGAAGTGGGATGCCAAAGGTGCCCAGGGAGTGTTCGTCGGGTATTCCGACGACATTGATGGTTTTCGTGTGTGGATAAAGGACACGAGGAAAGTGATTCGAAGTAGAGAGGTAGTGTTCGGTCCAGAGCATTCCTCTAAAGTTTTGGCATTGTTTCCTGCTGAGGCTACAGAAAAGGATCCCGTTGTCGAAGAAATTGAAGACCATCTTGAAAATCTGAACTCTCCTAGAGTTCTGAACTTACCTGAAGCTCCAATTCTGCCTGAAGTCCTGAATCCCGTGTTACCAGATCAAGTTGTTGATGCTGAACCGCGAATCGAAGAGTTCGATGAAACCCCCAAGACTGCAAAGGAGCCCATTCAACGGCGTCTTCGAGATAGAAGTACTCTTCAGAAACCTGTAAGATTCAATGAGATGTTTCTTGCAGAGTTAGATGAACCTCGAAGCTACAAAGAAGCCATGGAGTCGGCTGATCATGTGCACTGGAAGGCTGCGATGAAAGAAGAAATGTCTTCGCTGGAGGAAAATGGAACCTGGACTTTGACAGAGTTACCACCAGGAAGGAAGACTATCGCCAATCGCTGGGTCTTTCGTATCAAACGAGATGCGGAAGGGAAGATCTGTCGTTACAAAGCTCGACTTGTTGCGAAGGGATACAGTCAACGAGAAGGTATCGATTATAATGAAACATTCAGTCCTGTAGCTCGTTTTGATACAATCAGGGCGATCCTGAGTATTGCTGCCAAGGAACATCTCAAGTTGGCCCAGTTTGATGTCAAGACGGCATTTTTGAACGGCTTCCTGGACGAAGAAATCTACATGAATCAAGCTGAAGGTTTTGAAGACGGTTCTAATCTTGTGTGCTTGCTGATTAGGAGTCTCTATGGTTTGAAGCAATCGCCAAGGTGCTGGAACAATCGATTCAAGGAGTTTTTAATCTGTAAGTTTGGTCTTGTCTAAAGTGAAGCTGATCCGTGTCTTTTTTATCGTATATCTGATGAAGATAAGCTGATCGTTGTTTTGTACGTGGTCGATGGCTTGGTTGCTGCGACGAAAGATGGCATTATTCAAGAGTTCCTGAGGAAGCTGGAGATGGAGTTCAAGATCACTCTTGAAGAGCTTGGTTCTTTCTTGAATATGCTCATTGAACGAGAGGAAGATGGCTCAATCCATTTGAGTCAGAAGGTGTATGCAGAAAGTCTTCTTCAGAAGTTCAACATGGCAGAAGCAAACGCTGTCTCGACGCCCATCGAAAAATACGTGCAATTGGAGAAGAAAACTGGTTTAAGAACATCTGCTCCTTACCGTGAAGCTGTAGGATGTTTGATGTACTTAGCTGTAGCCACTCGTCCTGACATCGCGTGCGCAATTAGTTACGCGTCGCAATTCCTGGAAAATCCGGAAGAAGTTCACTGGTTGCTGGTCAAAAGAATCCTGAGGTACATTAAAGGGTCTAGTTCGGTTGGCATCAGGTATGAGGCTGGTTCTGGAGGAAGTGAATTGAAGGCGTACAGTGATGCTGATTATGCTAGTCAATCTGACACTCGTCGGTCGGTCAGCGGGATTGTTTTCATGCATAGTGGAGGACCAATATCTTGGGCTAGCAGACGTCAAGAGTGTGTGTCCTTATCCACAACTGAGGCTGAGTATGTCGCTGGTGGTGAAGCTGCGAGGGAATCAGTTTGGTTGGCGCGACTGTTTACAGAAGTTTCTCCCTTAGACAACGTTCCGGTTCTTTTTGTGGACAACCAAAGCGCAATCAAGATAGCGAAAAATCATGAGTTCCACAAGAGGACCAAGCATATCGAAGTGAGGTACCATTATATTCGAAAGGAATTGGAGGATGGAAGGTTGAACATACAACATGTACCAGGTGATCAACAATTCGCTGATATCCTGACCAAGCCGCTACCTCGTCTGAGATTTGCTGAATTACGTTCTGCTCTGGGAATGATTTGAACTGTTTTTGAATTTATTCATGTTTTTATATTAAAATTGAAATATCTAATGTTTTAGAGGAAGTATTGATGTAAAACCTTATTATTTAGAATTTAAAAAATTGTACAAAACTATAATATTTTCTTATAACAGGCTAATACGATATGCATAAATCTTTATTAGTAAGACCGATAAAGTTTGTTTAAATAATATACGCGGCTTGCGGTTATCATTTACCTAGTTTCACCTCAAGCGTATATCGGATTCACGATACGGTACGATTTATACTAGTAAATAAATAATAGTTTCAAATTTCAATATCTAAATACGATTTTTGTGGCTCATACCTAGTAGGTGGTCGATTTTACTTCTAATAATTTTTATATATCATGTGTAATAAAATTTTCTAGGACAATATTTTAGTTTATACTAGTAAAATGCTGAAATTGGATGTGCAAATGGCGTGTGCTTCTTGTATGAAAGTGTAGGTATTTTTTGTTAGCTTTCCATGAAATCTTAAAAATGTCCGCTAGCGATTACATCTTGCAGTTTTTGGCAAAAAGTAAGTCGCGCATAATTCTTTACTTATCACTTAAATCAAACTAACCGAGGAATATAAATTGTCTATCAGACAGTACCTATAAGTTGTGTGACAACAATTCAGCGTTCTTTACGCTAGAAACCAGAATTTTTTACGTGTTTAAGACGTATTGTTTAGGTAGAAAGAATAAAACAATATTTTGTTGCTATGTATACATATGTATAGAATATCTCTATAAATGTATGCTCTTGACTCACAAGGACTTTAATTCTCTTCAAATGTATACAATAAATGAACGATAGGTTCATGAGTCATAGGCTGCTTAGGCACGAATTTCCTTTTCATTTTCATAGTTGTGAGTGCAGTGGTCAGGATTTTAAGGAAAGAAAATTTTATTTGAGTAAAGGGGTGTTAATTGTATGTTCATATGTAGAATTGCTTAACATCATAATAAAAAGACAGTACTTAAATACAACAATACAAAAACAATAAAGAGTTATGATTCAAGAAAGTAACAGTCATACGTAAAAAAATACTTTATTTGCGTATTAACCCCAAGGGTGAGTAAGCTAAGGAATATCAAATTATAAATTATGCCATCTTTACTAGTATAGAGGTAAGCAAATTTCTTGCATGCTTTTAATTAAATATTTGTATGTTTACAGATGTGGCAATGCATAACTGGTCTGCATCAAGTAATGCTAACAAAGGTATTATGGGTTTTGATATTATGCACTTTTAGGTTAAATGCAATGATGTTAACACCAATATGCTCACTGGCTTGTTTACTCATTACGCTTTAGTATCATCAATCCCAATCAACATCATTTATTTAAGTTTCCAAATTCAGACCATAGCATCATCTTACAATTTATATTTAACATAACAATTAGCCTCTATGTAGTTATGGTCTGAGGCTACCTTGCTACATTTGACACATTGTTTTTTCGTTGCAGCATTATTAATATAAATTTTAAATAGTTTCAACATATTTAATCATTTACTATGATGATCTCGGAGGAATCAGATTCATTAAGTACTATTCCATCTGATGGCCATCCCGAAGACACATCAGGTTAGTTTTCAGGTTTCATTTTTCTTTTCTTTTATTTAATTATCCATTGCTATGTACTCATTGAATATGTATTAATATTTCTATTAGTTTAAACAGTAGACCTCATAGTTTTGTATATTTGTGTAAAGCACTATTACTTTCTATGTTGTGTTAGATACTATTGCTGTTTCAGTTTACATATAGAAGTTTATTTGACTGTTTGAAATAATGTCAGTATACTATTTATTAACATACAAAGCACATTAAATAGAAAGTTTGGTACGGTCATTCTCAATTGCGACCAATATGTTTAAAATTAAAGCTTCAGGTACAGAAGAGGCACCTTCCTCTATGGTGTCAAGTGAAGCAGAATCAGAGAGCAGTGTACTATCAGAGCCGCAGCGCCATGAGCAGGCTGATATTCAGCACAGAATAGACATGGTCACAGCAAATCTGCAAGACATAACCTCACCTGTTGATCAACGCAGCACTGTAACTTCATCTGTTACTGGCAGAGGTAAGCTTGGTTTGTATTTGAGCAACAAGTTTCTAATGAAGAAAATTTATAAATGTTAAATATTTAATTTCATTTTGTTGTTATCTAGTGATTGTTGATATACGAGTATGTATTTGTCAATTATGAACCTACAAAGCTTTTTAGGGATAGGGAATAGAACTCACAAGTCACTGTGTATAAAAGTGTAAACATTTAAACAGTATTAAACTTGTCGGATGAGTTTTAATTTCATAATACTTTTTTTTCTTAATTTTTATTTTGTTACTATATGATTATTATTAATTGAGCTAACTTGGCGGTTACAGCCTCAATGTTGCCATGGGGCCCATCGAAGGGGCCGTCGACGTCGGCGGACTCCGATATGAGACCGGGAGAGTTTGTGATGAGATTACTATTCACAGAATTCACAGTACAAGCCGAAAGGAAAATGGAAGCTGTCATGGCAGAGCCACTGGTGAGACATTGTTTTTGAAAAAACTCTGTTTATACGTAGTAATTATATTGTGTTCTGATACTTGCATTCAGGCACATATAAACATGAATGAGTCCATAAATTTTCAGGTTCCTACATTTTACTCCACATAAGACAGCTTAAAGGTTGTCTTTTGCTTTTATCTCAATATATATAATTTACGTGTCACGTTGTTTGTCCGGTATGGACTCCTAAACTACCGAACCGATATCAATCAAATTTGCACACCGTGTGTAGTTTGATCCAACTTAAAAGATAGGATAGCTTACATCTCAATTTATACCTGCAATATTATTTTATCGCCAAATATTTGTTTATTATTTGACAGTCACAATTCTAACAGATGGCGCTGTGTTGAAAGTACCAACGTTTCACATAAGCTACCAAGTGGCATAACCACCAAAAAAGCATGGTCCCCATGGGTCCCCATGACTGGTGTTCTCCTTCCGTTTCCCTTGAATAGTTTACTACTATGTAATATAACAAAAACTTTAGCCACAGTAAAGCTTGGTCGAGTCTGCTAGTTTAATTATAATTTTTTAAGCCATCCTCATTGATGAGCATATCCAAAATCCTTACTATATATCCAAAGATAACTCTGAGCTGAACGTCAGAACATTAAGAAAGATTGTAAAAGCTTTGGATCAGCATATGCTGATGAAAACAATATATATCCTTAATGTCTTATAACCCATGGGGCAGAGGGCGTCCACTGTGAGTCTCCTTCGGTCTTGAGCGTCGTATTTCACCTAGCTTCTTCCAGCTCTCTGCCTCATCTGCAACTGTACGGCGCCATGTTTGCCTGGGACGGCCACGGTTCCGCTTTCCTTGCCGGTTCCAATGAAGCGCATGCTTGGGAATATGATTGGGATCCCTTCGGAGCCAATCCATTTCCATTTGCGTCGCTTGATCTGCTGGCTGATTGGGGTTTCTCAGCAGAACAATATAAATAATATATACATATAAACCTTGCCAAAGTGAATCTGCTGAAACTCGAACTGTCTTTCATCGGCATTAGGACATGATGATCCTGATCAATGACAAAGAAATTATTTATTTATACTACACACTAAAACTGCGGGGACCGAACTATTATTATAAACAAATGGTCCTCAAAGTTTTTCGAAGACCTTCTCTTGTATTTATTATAATGCCTCATGTGTTGCAGGAAAAGCCTCTAAACAAAACATTACAACGGGGCGAAGATCCCCAACTCGATCAGATTCTGTCGGCGTTCGGTACGGTAGCCGAGCATTGTCTGCCCTCGTTGCTGCGAGCGCTCTTCGGCTGGCTCGAAAGGCAAATGGCCGACTCTCCCCAGCTCACTGAACAAACAAAGAAACCTCAAGATCTCAGAAACAAGAGGTAAGATTTTCTCGTCTCTACTGCAACTCCTACTCGATAGAACTAATATTGTCATTTTTGTACCGCTGAAGCGTCTCCTCATCCTTGAGTACTTGCCCATACGAGCTTGTTTGCGAATTATCAGTGTCAGTGAAACTGTATGAATATATTGCAAATATAAAATAATTAAATATGCGAATTAAAAAATGTTGATTTAGGAGAAAATCAAAATGTAATGTGTGCTAAAGCTGGCGTGGTCTGACATTTGAGTAATGACTTAAAGCCCTCCCAGCACGAATTGCTGAGTCAGTGTCTCGGGTGGACTGCGGGGGCAGTGGAGAGCACTAAGGCGCGCCGGCCCGTAATAACAATTAGTTATGTAAAACATTGAATTAATGTTTTATCAATATTTTTCTGAAATGGATTTCTTGGCTTGCGATAAATTAGATCGTGTAAATTTCAAAATCATGTTCTATATACATTTTCGTCATAAAATGAATTCAAAGTGTCAAAAATTGGCTATGTTTGGACTTTTCTTCTATCGAGCGAAGTTATTTAAATCGTGTATCAATCTTTCAAAATGGATACATAAACTACTCTACTCCACCATATATTTTTTCCATTCGCCGTACTACAAGAAACGATGACGGAAAATGGAAAGAGAGAATGTACTCTTTGGAGTTTGGCGACCGGATAGGTACTTAATCAAACTTACTAAAATGACATTTCACTATGGTCCTTATGCTGTATGCTATTGTATTTGTAAGCGATACTTTCGTCACCTGGTGCGCATGATTGTCTGAAAAATATTTTTAATGCTATGGAATCAAGACAAAAGTTGGAATTTTTTCGGGATTGCGTTTTAATAATGCTAGCACGTTTAGGATATCTAAATTACGAATTGACGGTCCGTAGCAATCATTATTGGTATTTTTTATATGAAAACCGAGCGTTAGTGGACAGATGGTGCCTATGTCTGAATTTCAGGATGATATTTTTTACGTACCTTTAAATATAGTTTCGTATTTTTAACCGACTTCAAATGACAATTCGAAATCGAAACTATTGTATATGTTTTCTTTATTTATTTTTTGTGTGTTATCCTAACTTACTACTGTGCTTCCTATGTTTGTAAAAACCAAAAATATGCGAATGATTAAATGCGAACTTATGAAAAAATATTTGTTGTGAATGGCTTAAATTTAATTGCTCTATTGTTAATATAGTCTGTTGCAATTTATAATAGTAGTCAAAACCTTTCACGCTGGTGTTGCTTCTTGGTGTTATTTCCACGAATGTGGTTCAATCGTGGTTCACTATAGACCGGTAAAAACCTCGGGCCATCCCCCTATTACTTCATACTCTAACTTAACAATAACGGGTCTATTTGAAAACTGATAGACTCATAACTTTAATTGAACTTTGCATCCATTCAGTCAGGAAGAGCAGTTTGACAACACGGATGACAAATTAATATTCCCTCCGACTCTATTGTATTGAGTGAACAAATGTTTAGCATAGGTGAAAAACCGAAAATAAATTCTCCCCAGCATCATCTACATAGTGTCGGGAAGCGGCGCTGGCACCGAACAAGTGGAGAGGAGTTGCGAGGAGCTTCACGCCGAGAGAAGAGATCTCGCCGTGGAATTCCTCTTCTGCCTAGCTCTTATCGAGGTGCTGAAGCAGCTGCCGTTTCATCCGGGCCACGAGGACCTCGTCAACTATATAGAGAATGTTGCCTTCAAGCGGTTCAACTACAAGGAAGGGTAATTCATTTTTTTATTTTGTTTTTTAACACAAATTACGGAGCTGAGATTTGATGAATATTTATGAAAAATTAAACGTCATATTATTTATAAAGTAAAACTTCTTTAGGCGCATGAAGGTAAAATTTTTACGGATGAAACGTCACGATGATGTGCAGCGTTTCTGTCGAATAAAAGGGAGATAGCGATTGAGATAGAGTGAGAAAGAGAGATCGTGAAAAAATACACGCTATTGGTTGATGTATTCGTTTAATAGTTACATATTAGAACTTTAGATGGCAATTCTGTCGCATAACGTCTTGTGCAGTGAACGCAGATATTTTATTTATTTATATTATCATTAGCACATATACAGTGTGTAAACAGTGTGAATATAGATATACAAATACATGGAGTGATCATATACTGGTACATGATCATCTATTGCGGCCTTTACCTTAGTAATAATTAATTTACAAAGAAGTTTCACTTCTGACGTGTGTACTTTGTACGCACGCAGTTTATTTTTATTATTAATGATTTCTTTTCAGGCTTCAGTCCAACCCAAACGCGGCCAATGTCCACATAATAGCAGATCTTTACGCAGAAGTAATAGGTGTTTTGGCCCAATCTCGCTTTGCTTCGGTGCGCAAGCGATTTACGGCGGATCTCAAGGTGTTTATAATTGATGACTTTGACTTCAAAAGCTTTGAATTAAAACTGGTCGCGTAGGCCTGTTAAATTATAACCATGGAAATATTTTCAGGAACTAAAAAGCCGTGAACAATCGCCGCAGACGACGCAGAGCATTATCTCCTTGCTGATGGGTATGAAGTTCTTCCGAGTGAAGATGGTTCCGATAGAAGAGTTTGAGGCCTCCTTTCAGTTCCTCACTGAATGTGCCCAGTACTTCCTCGAAGTCAAGGATAAAGATATAAGGCATGCCCTAGCCGGCCTATTCGTTGAAATTCTTGTACCGGTCGCAGCGGTTAGTATTAATTGAAAAATTCCTCAATGTATTGATAATTTGCATATCCTTTATAGAACAATGTAGCTTTAGTCTGTCTAAACTGTCAAAACCAGTTAATTTATATCATCAACATATATATACAACCAACATATTAATTATCTGTAATATTTGATTGTTTCTTCTTTGCATAAAATAGGCTCCAAAACTACTGGACAGATTTGAAAATTTATATCACTTTTAGAATACTAGATTATCACTAATAAACATAGTCTGTATACAATATAGAGTATTTTCAAAAAGTTAGGGATCCGAATGAAGATCGTAAAGATGTCAATTACGTATTTAATAAAACAAATTTCAATCCAATCCGAAGTACTGAACGCTACTTACAAATATTTTGTGTTTTTGTTGCCTTTGGAGAATCTTAAAAAAAAAAAAATCTTAAAAGATCTATAATATTTTGCTAGTTTTGTATCATATAGCGCAAATCCATTTATTCTTTGTGTATCCCGTGTAGACCAGGGTCGATAATTTTTGAAACCAAAAAAAATAATAGTATCATGAAAACATGAGAATATTATAAAAATGAAAGGAAAAATAATTTACGGGCCATCTGAGGTCGGGAAGTGGAAGGGGTTTTTAAGGGTAAAAACGGTATATTATCTCGATTTCCGGCAAAACTAAAAGTCCTATGGAAAAAAGTCAAATGGAAAAGTGGTAGATAATAAAAAGATCTAAAACTCTTGAATTTACACTTTTTTCACATAACCTCAAAATTTATGTGAAAAATTAAAAAAAAAACAAGTATTTGGATTTTCATTTTTATCTTTTACAAAAAAAAAAAATACGAAATTTGGTGAGACTTACCTTTTTATGTCCTAAATAAGCTGTAATTTATTTGATTTGAAATATTTATTTTTTCACCTTATTTTGAATTAATATCGAAAAAGCACCCTAATTTTCAATCGAAAATTCACCCGTCAAAATGTCAGTTTTTTTCCAAAAGTTGGGGTGCTTTCTGTTCGTTGAAATCTCAATTCCCCACTTCTCTATGAAATACTTTTTGATGGGCTAAAATTTTCGAAGGTCACTCAGGTATATAAGTTATCTAAAAAAAGTAAACCCTGGTCTAGTGTGAGTATACCGATTTGAAACAATTATTGTATTTAACAGACCGTTAAGAACGAAGTCAACGTCCCCTGTCTCAAGAATTTCGTGGAGATGCTCTACAGTCACACCTTGGACGCGAGCACCAAGTCGAAACATCGGCTGGCCTTATTTCCCCTGGTCACTTGCCTGCTCTGCGTTTCCCAGAAGCAATTCTTCCTCGCGAACTGGCATTGCTTCCTCGCCATGTGTCTCTCGCACCTCAAGAATAGAGATCCAAAGATGTGCCGAGTCGCGTTAGGTAAAATTTTCATTTATTCATGTCACGCTGGATTGCGAAAGTTTAGTTTTTTTCTGGGTTTCGAAAGCATGACCGATTTCAAATTGTTAAAAGCTAGAAATATATATCGTCGCTGTAGAATGATAACCTCGTATGTCCAGAGAACCAAACATTACAGGAAAAGAAAAAATGTTTCATTTCGTCAATGTTCGTTAAAATATTATTGTGTTTTTGGCCATAGTTTTGGATGGTAAAAAGGACTTATTTATTAATAACATAAGTAAGTCCTTACTTCATGATTATACCAGTTAAATGACATGAGTCTAAGAATAAAAAATTAAACTGTGACATATACAAGGTGATCATTCTACAGCGACGATATATACCTATACTCCGATTTTTAATTCCGTAGAATTCTGACATTTCATAAATGTTGCTACTAAAATAGTTCTCCACCAAAAAAATAAATAAATTTGACCCATTTTAGGGCAATAAAATAAAATGCTACGTATTGTTTATGTTTTACCTACAAAAAGATAAATCTTAATATTTATTAACTCAAGTGACCTAATACAAAAATAAACTAATATTTCAATATCACGAACAATATATCGAATTAACTTTATTTTATTATTTAGCTGGCATCACTGCCTACTAATTCCAGGTTTAGTAAACCTTTAAAAAAAATTAATGTTTAGCACCGCACTTAATAAAATGAATACATTCACTAACAAATAAAATGTTTGTATAGAGACAGACAGACGTTGACTCGTATTGAAATTGAAAAATGTGCCCGACCAAAAAGGTTTGTAATCTCTGACATGTCAAAATTATAGCTGTCAGAATTCTACGGAATTAAAAATCAGAGTTTAAGAGTAAAAATAAACTGTTTTTGACGATATATACCTACTGTGCCTTAGATGGTTATTTTTAAATGTCTTCTTAATAAACATAGATTAAAGGGAATCAGATACGCGATTACATAGGTTATCGTTTCTTGTCATGTAATTGATGAATATTTTTCAGAGTCGCTGTATCGTCTCCTCTGGGTGTACATGATCCGTATAAAGTGCGAAAGCAATTCCGCGACCCAATCCCGGCTTCAAAGTATCGTAAACTCGCTGTTCCCGAAAGGTTCCAAAGGCGTGGTTCCGCGCGACACCCCACTCAACATATTCGTGAAAATTATCCAGTTCATCGCTCAAGAGAGGCTAGACTTTGCGATGCGGGAGATAGTCTTCGACCTGCTCATGGTCGGACGTCCGATTAAAATAATCCTCACTCCTGAGAGAATGTCTATCGGCCTGCGAGCGTTTCTCGTGGTGGCGGATAGCTTGCAGCAAAAGGAGGGCGAACCGCCGATGCCCAGGACTTCGGGGACCCTTCCCTCGGGAAACACCTTGAGAGTGAAGAAGACCTTCTTAAACAAAATGTTGACGGACGAAACGGCTCAGTCGATCGGGATGAGCGCGTATTTTCCGTACGTGAGGCGCGTGCTCGTCGAGATATTGAGGGCGTTGGACGCCCACTACGGCAGACCCCTCATGCTGACGAACACACAGAACGTGACAAAGGAGCAAGAGATCAATACGGGAGAGAGGAAGCCGAGAATCGATCTGTTTAGGACCTGTGTGGCAGCCATTCCTCGGTAAATATTTTAAACTGTTTACTAGTTGTATCCATTAGAACGACATGGAACCGTGTTAATATATTTACAGGCTGATACCGGAGGGCATGAGCCCCAATGAGCTGGTGGACCTCCTCTGCAGATTGACAGTTCACATGGACGAAGAGCTCAGGGGACTCTCGTTCCAGAGTCTTCAGACTCTCATCGTGGACTTCCCCGAATGGCGGCAAGACGTACTGGCCGGCTTCACTCAGTTTCTGGCTAAAGAAGTACAGGTATTGTTTTACCGATAATTTGTGTTATTTATTTTAGTTATGATATCAACATTCGATTTAAGCGATAGCTAGTTACAGATAGTATAAAGATAGTTGAGTAATTTCACACATATGAATATGTTCCACATCAGGACACCACACCCCAGCTGGTCGAGAACGGTCTAAGGATGCTTTTGCAATTGATAACGAGCTGGAAGAACGGCGAACCGCCGACTACCGTCCCCGCGAAGACCGAGTCGCTCGCCTCCGTCATTCGAGCCGTCGAAGCTCTAGGACTGGTGATGCTCTGTCAGTGCAAAGCTTATCCGAGGAGGCTGGCCGTGCACATTCTGAGGTATAACGGTTGACAAGTGATTAGAATTCATCAGAAGTGATTAATAAATAATAATAATAATCTTTATTCATTTCTCACAAAAACTTAGTACATGTACAAGTGACAGTTACATACTATTATAAGGGAAAATGCTAGTTGTGTGAGACTGATGCCTGCTAAAGGTAAGAGTACCTGTGTTACAGGTCATCAGGCCTCCACCACTTTGGATCGACAGAAGGTCTTATATAGTAGAGAAAAATCTAATGAGAATAAACAATCATTATTAATAGGCTGCAACATATATAAAACCACATGGGGTATGTGTGTGTGCGTAAATTGTGTGTATGTGGGTGGGTGTGTGTACGTGAGTGTGTGTCTGTGTATGTTTTATTACTTAATTGTGAATCTAATAAAGCTAAAACTATTATACTATTAATTTATTCCCTATCATTAACATAAATTAGTATCAACTTTATACTCAACTATTTGATCATGGTAAGCACTTTTTCTGTTTCCTCATAGTTGAGGTCCAGTAGCCACAGTGCAACCGTCTTCTTACACTCATATTTTGTTAGATATATGGAAATGGAAGTGTTGACCTTATTATACAAGTAATCCCCAAAAAAAAAAGAATCTCTTCTGAAATGAAATCTTTCCGTTCAGGGAATGCAAGAGCCTCTTGGAGCGACTTCAGTTGACTCGCGATGAGCCAGCTCTCATCGACGCCGCAGACGCTCACGTCCCGCACTTCACGGACAAGTGTTTGGGGGCTCTGCCTCCGGCCGAGAAGCAGGCCGCGTTGGCCGCCGCCCAACCGGACCTCGTGTGGCTCGTGGAGAGGACGCACCCCGTGTGGACATGTGGTGTGTATCGGTCTTGTAACTGAGGAATTATTTTGCTAATATATTCAAAGTACAAATCATGATATAATATATTAGGTGATGATACAGTTGACATTATAAAAAAAACCAGTGACGCTACAATGTTTTAGGTCTGGGCCTCAGTTTTCTGTATCTGTTTCATGATTGTAAAGATAATAGGCAAGTAGGTGATCAGCCTCCGGTGACACACATCATCGACTTTTTGAGTCTAAGACATGTCGGTTTCCTCACGATGTTTTCCTTCAACGTTCGAGCAAATGTTAAATGCGCAAATAGAAAGAAAGTCCATTGGTGCACAGCCGGGGATCGAACCTACGACGTCAAGGATGAGAGTCGCACGCTCACGCCACTAGGCCAACACTGCTATTGCACGTTGACATTAAGTTACATATAATATTACGATGAAATTTCTCTCTAGCGTTAACAAATTTGGGGGGGGGTCCTTTTGTACAACGTTACGATGCGGGGGGGAATGCATGAATTTGAATTGAATTAAGCCGTTATTGTTAATATTAGGTCCTTACATATGAAATTGGCGTATTTCGTACTGGCCATTTTAATCACGATGTTCTCCTCTTTGGTAAGGAATTTCAAATTCAAATTTGTACAGCTTACTCATGCATTTGTGCTTCGATGATCGCATTCATTTGTTTTTTTCTGTTTGCGTCACTCATTTTACAAAATGGAAAACTTAAAGTATCGCATTATTTACGAGTACGAGTTCCGCCGTGGCACTAGTGCTGCGGAAACGACTCGAAGGGTGAATGATGTGTATGGCGGTCATGTTGCAAAAGAAAACACAGTTTGTTTTTGGTTCCAACGTTATCGTTCTGGAAATTTCGACCTGCAGAATAAGCCCCGAGGACGGCCTGAGACCCAAGTTGATAATGAAGTATTGAAGGCTATTGTGGAAGCGGATCCATCGCAAACTACGTACGAATTAGCTGCAGGCTGCGGTGTTAGTGATAAAACTGTTTTAATTCACTTGAAGCAAATTGGGAAGATTAAAAAGCTTGAAAGATGGGTACCTCACGAATTGACTGAAGCAAACCGGCAAACGCGCGTCGACTGTTGCGTTACATTACTGAACCGGCACAATAATGTAGGTATTTTAAACCGAATCATTACCTGTGATGAAAAATGGATTCTTTACGATAATCGGAAGCGCACAGCGCAATGGTTGGATCCTGGCCAGCCAGCCAAATCCTGCCCCAAGCGAAAATTAACCCCAAAAAAGTTACTTGTAAGCGTTTGGTGGACTAGTGCCGGTATTGTTCATTGCAGTTTTCTCAAATCTGGCTAGACTATTACGGCTGATGTTTATTGTCAGCAATTGCAAACCATGATGGAAAAGTCAATCGCTCCACGCCACTGCTACTTCACGTTAACGCTAGACCACACACTGCACAACAGACGGCTACCAAATTAGAAGAGCTTCAATTGGAATGTCTAAGACATCCTCCGTAATCCCCGGACCTTGCTCCAACAGATTACCATTTTTTTCGAAATTTGGACAACTTCTTGCAAGGGAAAAAAATTAACTCTGATGGGGCAGTCCAAATCGCCTTCACAGATTTTATTGATTCCCGTCCGACTGTTTTTTTTTAGTAAAGGGACCAATGAACTACCTATGAGATGGCAAAAGTGCATAGAAAACAATGGTTCATACTTTGATTAATTAAATATATTATATTTAAAAATATTCGACTTTTTGTTCCTCCCATACAAAACGCCAATTTCACATGTAAGGACCTAATATTATTTTCGACATTCCAGTACTACACCAAACTTTACACCACACAATGGTAACTTTTAGGTAAAAAGGGTCACTAGGTGGTCACAAAACGTTTTAGTATACTTGGGTACAGTAAAACGTACGGCGCGTTAAACGTAATACTTGAACACTCGCTAATTCGTGATGTTGAAGTTATTTAAGTTTTCCAAGAGTTTTTGAGTATGTGTATGTGACAGGTCTTCAGCATGATGAGACATCATCAAAGAACAGTTGGAGCGGCAGTTCTACCAATGGAGCTGATCCTTGGGAGGTAATTTATTAATTATTAATAGTAAACTTATAAATAATGTATTTTTAACCAGTCTGTGACTTAAAATCGGTAACATATTTGTTTATTTACATCATAATTTAAACCTGGTTAAATCGCAAAAAAAACCAATTCCTTTCCACTGAACCCATACACGGTATCTCGAATTATTTAGACTTTGTAACTCGAACAAAATGTTGTTTCCCTACGAAGTATTCAGTACATATTTATCTCGAATTTCAAAAAAGAGACTCCGTAAGTCGTAAGTACTTGGAATTTCCCGAAATAATAGCTATCAAATATAAAATGAATGTTTTTGTACATACAATCAAAAAATAAACTTAGAAATCGCGTCTCTGTAAGTCGAAATTTCATCAGTTAAATCATACGTATCTCCAAGTTCTTGTTAAGTCGAAAACTCGTTCACTCGATTTTTTTGCATTTTCTTCGACATTCGAGTTATAAAGATTCCACTGTATAAACTGAAATAATATACCTTACCCCATACTCTTTATTAACAAGTCACTTTCCAGAAATTTGACCTTGGTGATAGTACTGTACGATTACTAGCAATTCAATTGATTGGTGCTGTGCGCAGGTAGTGCTGTACGGACTGCTCGAAAAGAACCGAGTTCCAGCCAAATGCCCTACGACCGTCCTTCAAGCTTGGCCCATTCTTCATGCCAGGATTCATGCGCTCTATACGATTATCGAGCCGGCGTAAGTGTTTTCCATCTGACTATAGTACAGTGTAAACTCAATGTAACGTCCCTGGATTTAACGAGAACGCCCTGAAGCGTCGAAATCACTCGGCTTTGTTTGGTTTAGCTTGTCTCCCATACAATGATACACTTTACATAGCATCATCCTCAATAACGACAACAATTAAACACTGAAAAGTAGTTTTTAAGTTGCCGAAATTAGTTAAAACCGCGGAGCTGTGTATGTTATTTTGTCGCTTTTGTCGAGAAATAATCTCGACTGTCGGTACTCGTCATATGTGGCGAACTTTCCTAGAAATCCGTTGTTTTTACAAATTGCGCAGGCTTGCATGTGCTTTATCAGATGCCTCAATATAGCAAGATAATTAAATAAGTAAAAAATACAACCTATACTCTGATTTTAAATTCCGTAGAATTTTGACAGCTATCATTTTTTGACATGTCAGTGATGGCAAACCTTTTTGGCCGGGCACATTTTTCAATTTCAATACGAGTCTGAACATCTGTGTCTATACATCCATTTTATTGTTAGTTATTGTACAAATTTTATTAAGTGCGGTGCTCCACATTAAAAGTGGCTTAGCGGCGAGTGATAATTACGTCCCTTTTCGTCACAAACAGTAAAAACCGCACAAGTAAAGATAACTTTTTTTTTTAAAGGTTTACTAAACCTGGAATTAGTAGGCAGTGATGCCAGCTAAAGCATGAAATAAAGTAATTAAAGTTTCTTCGATATATTGTTCGTGATATTGATATTCCTTATTTTTGTATTAGGTCACTTGTGTAAGTAAATATTTAGATTTACCTTTTTGTAGGTAAAACATAAAAAATACGTTTACATTTATTTTATTGCCCTCAAATAAGTCAAATTTGTCCCTTTTTCGGTGCACCACTTATGAAATGTCAGACTTCTACGGAATTAAAAATCTGTCTGTTATTTTTGTACTGTAGTATAACGCAATAGCGTTCCAATACGAATTGTTTTTATGTAATTACTAACACTAGTCTGAAATAAACTCTATTTTTCTAATACAGATTATCATTCCATTTAACGACAACTCTTTGTGACGTCAAAATAGGCACAGACCCTTGAGTGTCGTTATATTGAGTTAACACTGAATTTCAACAGATGTGCGTTTTATGAATCTAATAGAAAATTAAATTTGTCATAGCCCTGTCAACGACAACCGGGCGTCGCTCTTGTCTCGTTCGCCGGCTTTGCCGCGGAAGCCTGAAAAAGAAAGAGACGGCTATATGCAAGTATGGAAGTATTACCTCACTATGGCCTACCTCGTGGTACCGGCAGTCCCGAGTCCGGTCGTCCGCTGCGCAAGTCCAGATCTAAGCCTCAGGTACGTGTCCCAAGTGTGGTGTATTTTATTTTTTATTCACTCTCAAAAATACATATTTATTAATTACCTGATTAAAAAATCTTGAACAGTTTTTGTGACGATGGGATAGCGTTACGAAATAGGCAAATAATTTTTTATTAGCACTAAGTATATTTGGCAGTATTTTGAGTAGCAGAATAGTTTTTGCCATTTAATAATTTATTACCTAGGTGTATCGGGAATGTTTAGTAGTAAATCCTTAGATCTACTTTCACTAAATATATCTTTTAATACAATTTTTTAAATCTAATCCAATAAACAATAACACCTAGCATGTTTCCTTATACACTGGATAAGAACACTGTTTGCAAGACGGCACAATATTAAATGTTAACGACCTCATTACTTATTTAATCTTTATTTTTAAACAATCTTCAAATCGTACGGACAGGACGTTCTCGTCGTCCGTTTATAAAGTCTTTTTTGTATCACAAACAATAAAGTAGAGATTATGTGGCCAAGATGAAGACGGCATATTAGATACTGGTCGTGATGTGTGTAACCCTTGTAGCACGGAGGGTGAAGCATGGCTCGGCCCTCACCTGACCTCATCGAACGAGAGCCTCAACGCGCCAGTCGGTTTCTTCACGCTGCCGTTGAGCTATGCGCGCGCGCACAGGCACCACAAGCGAACGAGGTGGCCAAACGATATCGTGCATTATTCATTTTTGCGATTCCATCTTTTTAAACTGTTACACTCTCCGCATACAAGATATAGCTTTGACCATTAAATGACGCGGTACGATAACTTTCTTCTGACAAAGTGGGATGGAATCGCGTGTCATTCAAATGTGAAGTCATTGTTATCCATTCACATATTATATACGGTGCACAGCTATGTCATCAATGGCCTTCTGACTTCTATATATTCAAAAAACCTATTACGTGTTAAATGTTTGGAAATGGAATTATTTGAACCCTATCTTCTGATTTTTGAATCGAAAGATTTATTAATTAAAAAGACATGTTAACTATAGTTCGATGAACTATTGCTGTAATTAGATCTTTCGATTTAAAAAAATGGTTTTATCTGATTTATCTAAGCCTGTTTGTGAATGTTTTAAGCACGCACACATTTCTATACATGTAGTTGATTTTAGCGTAGATTAGTACGAAACAAAAAAACACTACGATTTATTTTGTTTAAATTATGTACTTACAATACTTATCACTAATTCTGTGTGACTACGTATTTTATAAACGTTTATAAACGTTTCTTATCTAGTCTAGTGATTATATGTTACACTTCTAAGGGGCCGTTCAAGTATTACATAAGCATTAGGGGGGGGGGGGGTTTGGTCTTTGATATTCTTATTTATTTATTTTTTATTTATTTATTTACACTTCGTTGCTAATAATATAAGAAACACAATACATAAAAATTATAAGGGATGCAACGGGCGGCCTTATCGCTAATAAGCGATCTCTTCCAGGTAACCCTAGTTAAGAGAAAAACTAAAAAAAAAAAGACACATGATGCGTGCGAGAAGTGCAGAATCCTTAATCTAAAGTAATACAAAAAAAAAATATTAATAACAAACTAAAAACTTAAAAACTAATCTTACAAATACATGAATACATGAACAGCGAATAGTGATGTAAAAGGAATCATAAGAATTATACAAGGCACGATTGATGAGGATAGGATAAGGTTAAGAAATGATTATACAGAAGAGTTTTAAAAGATGACAGAGAGGTAGCCAATCGTACGGAGTCAGGCAGCGTATTCCACAACTTAATGGCGGAGATCGTAAATGAATTGCCTAAGAAGGATGAAGTGTGGGATGGAATTTCCAATAAACATCTATTAGATCTATTATTTAGTGATTACGTCAACAGTACGGTTATGTACATTGCTGACAAAAGGAAGGGTGGGGGGATGAATTGCAGTAACAATACTTGAACGGCCCCTTAGAGACTGCAGAAATTGATTTCAAAATTGAGAGTAGCAAAATATAGAACACACACACACACTAAGCTAATATCAAACAATATAAGAGACCCAAAAGGTTAGATTTAAGCCTAACATTCTCTAATACCGTAACTTCTCGTTGTCTTCACATTTTAACATACAATCTTGAAACACGTGAACAAATGTAGTAGTAGTAAATGGACATAGTATGTCTTCGCTTCTTGTATAGCTCGGCTAATAAAACCCATACAGTTGAATTGGAACAATAATTTACATTACCGTCAAATTTCTCTTAAGTCATACACTCACGCTCTAGTGAGTGTGTAATGTTTAAGCGGGAAGTGAGTCTCTTTGGTGTCCAAGATCATCGGGTTTCGTCTGATGGGAGACTTAGTTAATTGTTATTTTCTAAATGCATGCGGCTATGATACGAATCTATCATAAGTGTGATTATTTGATCGATTCTACGAGCCCTGATGCAAAATAGTTCGTCTAGTATGGAAAGTAGTGCAAAGCGTAAAATATAGAAAGTAAATATTGGTAAAATAATTAAGAACGTTTAATAAAAAGTAAACCACAATTTGAGGTACATTTTAAAGTTTATTTTAACATAACTGAAATTCTTTCATGACTTTACATAACATTAAAAATAAAAAAAATATTCTAAAAAACAACGCAAAAGTATTGTCACTCACGCAAAATAGTTCGTCCACTTAGTTGTGTCGCCTTTGCTCTCGATGATACCTTTAATGCGAAGAGGCATGGTTGCAACCAACGCTGCACACTCCTCAGGCGGAATTGACTCCCAGACAGCCAAGAGTTTAGCCTTTAAGTTGCTCTTTGATCTTGCAGTATTGATACAACCATCCACAAACGGCATACCACCAATACCTTGTGCAGACATGCAGCCCCATATCATAAGAGCTGCCGGAAACTTCACACAATCAGTATGAAATGCCTAATTTTTGTTCCGAATCACTTTTTTTTCTTTCATCGCCGACTATCACTTGAAATTTGGCCTCGTCATCCAAATGATTCTATGCCACTGATCGGAAGCCCAATTTAAATGACCACCAGCACACTAACCTCTTTTTCTTATGTACAACAGTCAACAGTGGTTTCTCCTTAGCGGTGTAAAATCCGTAACTCATTCTTTTTAGTACTCTTTTGTAAGTATCAACTGAGACGTCTTTGTGAATCATGACCTTCCATTGCACCGTGAGTTCTCCAGCTCGAGCACGACGATCATAGATTGGACTGTAGACCTGGAAAGTATCAAGTCCTTACATATTTGGTAACTTGATTTGACAGCATCGACCCCACAAACTATTCGCTTTCGAAGCTCTTTCACACGGGTTTGCCACGACTCATTGTTGAAAACTAAAGAAAAAAACTGAAATTTTCAGAATTTATACTGTCTCAAATGACACAGAATTACTTTTACAAATTTAAATTATGTAACATAATTGTACAATGAAGGAATAATCTTATTTAAACTCACCGATCGACGAACTCTTTTGCATCGATTTACAATTACACGAACTATTTTGCTTCTTCGAATTTAAAACAGGGTATGCATAAATTTAAAAAGCTAAAATATTATTGGTTTATAATTAAAAAATGGCATAAGTAACCGACATGTGATAGTAGAACAGCAAATTTTTTTATATAGATATACAAAAATAATGAAGTTAGAAAAAATCTCACAGAGAAAATTTCACAATAGACGAACTATTTTGCATCGGGGCTCGTATATTAGGATACCCATGAAATTAATAACATGAAAAAGTTGTTTTCAGGCTTTGTTTGTTTAACAATTTGTTGCTTGTTGGAAAGGTAGTGGTAGTTGTTTTACACCACGTTCATAAAATCATACATTGGCGCCGATGTTCTATAGTTAGTTGGTTGTTTTATGTTTTGTTTGATGTTTCGGTTGTTTCTGCTAACTGAACTAAAAAGATACCGTTACTATAAGCGTCCAATATTGGTGACATAATGCAGCTTATCTTTTGTTCCGCAAAAGCGGGACGGTTTTCCTCATCAATAAACATGTGCTTGACAAATGAATAACCACTAATAGTAGCGATGTCGATACAAGTTACGCAACTAGAATTTATTTGTAAAATGTTTAATGTAATAACCAAGATAAGGTCCAGGTGTTGAAGGGTTTTGCAATAATGTTGTGACGTATGACAGTTCGTCTCCGGATTCGCTGAGCGAGCGGAGTGGTGCTGAGACACGTGGTGCCGCGGCGGTTCCGAGCTCACTTCACAAATTGGCCGTGCCGCTCGCACGCTGCGAGGTGGCTGAAGTCAGAGACGCGGCTGTCGATGCCTGTGGACACATCAATCCTGATGCACTGAAGTGAGTAGAATTTCACATTATCATAAGACATAAAATTATGCAATACAAATTTATTGTCACTTTTCAATCCCGTTAATAGAACATTGATTAAATAATATACGATAAATTTTACTCTTATCCCTTTTAGAAATTATTTTATTGCGTTATGAGATTACGAGATATCACTTTTTTACATTGTTTTAGGGATCTCTTTGAGGAACTCGTTCCGTTGCTACGCGAGGCAGTCGACCGTAAGCAAGAAAATATGCGTCGGCGCAGAAGACGCGACGCTTTGAGACTTCATCTCAACAAGATGCTACTTATCATTGCCCAGAGGAAAACATTTGCGATCAGGTAAATCTTATTAAATTCTTCATATCTATGTTATACCAGCCCAAGCATACAAGCACGGTCGTAGTGGTAAAATTTGTATTGCGTCATGATATTGTTGACTGTTTTTTTTTTCTTTTTTAGAAACTTTAAATTTTGTTTGCCTACTCATATATGTACTTTTTTGTTTTGACTCAGTATTTTTTTCATGTGGAATGGAAGCCTGGTTATCCATGTCACAGGTTCTTACCTAGCTTGGAAACCAGTCTCCCAACACCTTCTTAATTGTAATCGTACTGTTGTTTCAAATGTTATATGAGAGAAAATAAAGAATTATTATTGTTGTTTTTATATAAGTGGACTTAGATCAAATTTAAAATAAAAGATAACATAAAATGGTCCACAAACAGTCAAGCAGTTATTTAAATAATTTATAATATTTCCCCCGATAACGCCACAGTACGTATAACGTGCAGAGTAGAATAATCTATTCTTTAATTTTGTAGCCCTTTCGCGGTAGAAGGCGGAGGTCTACACCCCGCCCTAACCGAATATTTAGAAGGAGTGCGTCAGAGCCTCGAAGTGGAGGCCGAAAAAGATGCACCAGCTGCGAGAGAACAGAGGCTCACCTTCGCTGAATTCGTCACTGAACTTATCAAGAGCTTTCCACGTAAGTTATCCAGTACAACTGTTCTATATCTAATAACTAAAGCATGCACTTCTAAATTAATATGGAAATATATATTACCCCCATAATAAATTCAAAACAACATATTATAGTTAAATTTGTTTATACGTGTATCTTTAATCGTGTATAATTAAATATACAACGTATGTAATCTATATCTATATATATAAAAGAAAAATGGTCTTCGTTTGAGGCTCCTTCACGCCTAAACCACTGATCGTATCGACATGAAACTACCACCATTCGATGCGAAATTTTTCCTAGATGGTTTATATTAAATTCCAACGTTCCTTCATTTTTTTATTGCTGTTTTACTTTTATGAAAATTTATCCATACGGACTTCACCGCGGAGACATTCGGGGAGGCTTCCTAGAACCTCTAAACGTCAACATCTGTTAAAAACTCGATTTTCGAAATATTTCAATTTTCTTAGCGGGAAGTTAAAAAGAAGAATAATAAAAATATGAAAAAAAAAATAAAATAATGAAACATAAAATTTATTTTAATTCGTCCAGCAAAGCGGGCGCGAAACGGCTAGTATTATATTATGTATTAACGAAGGATTAAAACAACTGATATTAAGAACTAGTTTGTTTACTTTTCTATATATTCTGTCGTTGTTATTGTCTATAATCGGCGGGAGTTTATCACTTAACTTCAGGTGTATGCCCTTTGTTAGGTTAGGCTTTGTTGGTTGGCTATATAGGTTGCCTAGAGCTCCGAATATCTAATCTCTCTGAAGATCAAATAGGATTTGCGACCTAAAACGTGTACTGATATTCGAAATGTTTGGTACAGTGGAGATGTATAGTACGTTGGTGAAACGCGAGTTATGCAAGTCACTCTTTTCGCTGTTTGCTGGTTGGTGTGGACCACTTGTGAAGCATCTTGGGACGTTGGTTCCGCAACCGGCCACGCCTGAAGTCGATGAGAGATTAAATCGAGCTGCACTTAAAGTACGTATTTTTTAATATTTAGATTAAAGTTATAATGCCATAAGCCACTATAATTTCGTAATAATTATAATGTTTATAATAAAACTAGCTACCCCCGCGAACTTCGTTTCTTCTTAATGCCTAGCCTACCTTTTAGTAAATACCAACATGGAACTATGCTACCCCAGATACTGTTCGGTTTTCTGGAATGAAAACTTTTTAGGTTTTTCTGTGATTTTTCTCTATATAAACCTGAGTTCAAGTTATAAGTTCTTAACTAACAAATAAAAATAGGGGTTGATCGTAGAGGGTAGATGATTAAGGGTTGTATGTATTTTTGTATTCTGTATCATAAAAAAATAAAATCAAAATAAAACCTCCTCTTGAACTTTCCATTTGGATCTTTTTTGCTTCTTCGTTAAATTTCTCCTGAGAATGTGTTTCTTAAATTTTGAATGACTGGATTGTGGTCAGAACCTATCTGCACCAGGATACGTTTTAGCCGATTTAATCCTATTTTTATGTATTTTTTTTTCAATCTGTAATCAATTTGGTTTCGCACAATCCTGTCTGCCTCATGTGTTGGCGATTGCCAAGTATAGGGTCTACGTGGTGGTTATTTTAAAAAGTATTCGCAACAGCAAAATCGTGTTGCGCCGACACCAAACCTTCCAATAATATACGATACAGCACCTTGACCTATCTTGGAGTTGAAGACAGCTGTTACGAATGATAGCTCGTTAGGTGTTGTTAATTTATGGCCCTATCCCAGCACGAATTGCTGTGTCAGTGTCTCGGGGTAGGATGCGGGCCGCAGTGGAAAGCTGCAGCACTGAGGCGCGCCGGCCTGTAATAACAATTAGTTATGTAAAATATTAAATTAATGTAATTTTATCAATTTTTTCGTCAAAATTTTCGTCATAAAATGAATTCGAAGTGTCAAAAATTGGCTATGTTTGGATTTTTTTATATCAAGCAAAGTTATTTAAATCGTGTGTATCGATCTTTCAAAATGGATACTTAAACTACTCAACGCCACCATATATTTTTTCCATTCGCCCTACTTCAAGAAACGATTACGAAAAATGTATAGAAACAATGTACTTTTTCTTCTGTCGGGCCATATACTTATGCATCAGCAGAAAAATATTGATGTCTAATGGTTTAGCTTCTAGTTGTCATAACATTACCCGGTATGAAAGAGGTAGAAAGTTCTTAACCAGGATTGGTATAAATTTTAGGTCTATTACCGGTAAATTAGGAGCGTTCTAGATAGCCTGATGGTTAACAGTATAGAACGCTTTGCTGTAATCTGTGAACGCTATATAGAGTGGCTGATTAAATTTACGGTATTTTTCTATGATTTTCTAGGGCTGGAAGATGTGATCGACTGTACTAAATCTTGATTAAAAGCCTGCTAGTTCTGTAGGTTGTGAATCGTCTATGAGTAATGTGAATGCCCTGTAATTTTCTACACTCACTCACTTCGCAAACAAATCGACTCAAGCGCTACCCTCTGCATTCAAAGATTGTTTTAAGTGAAAGTATACAACATTTTAATAAAAATGATATATCACTTGAAAGCTTGAAACCTAAGCTTTAAAAAAAACATCAACACGATTAAATAAAACAACCACCAACATGTTAATTTGCGCAATTAGGGCGTATGGGACAAATTACTCACTACGCTACCTAGTTGCGCTACCCTTTACCCCTATAAAACCCCCGTTACCCTTCAACCTTTATCAGTCGCTTATCAACAGTTGACCGATACACATCTCCGCAACCTGCATTCATTGTTTTCAAGAAACCATGGATACCACACCTCAAGAAGCCGCTCAAGTTTTTGCCTTATTGCAACAAGGACTCAGTCAGCGAGTAGTCGCTTCCCAGCTTCACTTGAGTCAATCTGCTGTATCCCGAGTAAACAGATGATAGACATGAGACTGGAGCATTCACTCGGATACCAAAAACCAGCCGCCATCGTTGTACTTCTGAACGAGACGACCGTTTCATTGTCACAACCTCACTGCGAAATCGGCACCTTACGGGTGTCGACGTGCAGGGCGAGCTGAGACGTGTTCGAGGTATAGCTGTCAGCATAGGGATAGCAAGAAGACGACTGAAGGAAGCCAATCTGACTCCAAAAAGCCTGCAACGTGCCTCAAATTGACTGTAGGCCACTGGCAGGCTCGGCTACAGTTTGCTCGAGATCATATTAACTGGAGCATTGGGCAATGGCGGTCGATCCTGTTGACTGACGAGTGCAGGATGTGTCTGCATGGCAGTGACAGGAGAGGCCGGGTCTACAGGCTCCCAGGAGAGCGATTTTCCTAATGTTGATTCGCAGAAATCGTTGCCTATGGTGGCGGTTTTTGCATTATGTGGGCTGGTATCTCGTTGGAGGGTAAAACCCAGCTCGTTTTCGTGCCTGCAGTAGGCCGAAGAGCAGGACTGACAGCTGATGGGTACATCACAAATATTCTCCTGGAACATGTTGTGCCCTACGCAGCTTTGTTGACGAAGACTTCATCCTAATGTATGACAATGCTCGATGCCACACAGCGCGCGTTACTCAGCAGTTTCTTCGAGAAGTCGATTTGCGCACAAAGGACTGGCCTGCGCTCAGTCCAGACATAAATCCCGTCGAGCATTTATGGGATGAGCTCAAAGGGTACGAGCAAGAAATCCAGCCCATTCGAGCCTTGAAGAATTGAAAGCTGCTTTGTTAGAGGAGTGGGAAGGTATTCCTCAAGACACCGTCAAAAAATGAATAAGGTCGATGAAGAACCGAATACGGGCTGTAATTAGGGCTAAGGGGGCAATACCAATTAGTAAACCAATAAATGGTATACTCTTTAAGAAAAAAAAAACGTGTTTTATTTGTCAATTCTGAATCCAACTCCTAAAGGAGTTGGGTAAACCCAAAATCCCATTTTTCCCCCATTTAAGTTCAGACACTTATAATAAAAAAGGATACCTACATGGATATTAATACATCTCATAAAAGCTGAAGTTTTAAGCTTTCAAATGACATATCATTTTTATTAAAATGTTGTATACTTTCACTTAAAACAATCTTTGAATGCAGAGGTAGCGCTTGAGTTGATTTGTTTGCTCGCGCGTGTATATTTGATTTCGCTCATTGTGATGATACTTCGTCTGTTGATATTACCCAGTTGAACAATTGAGTTATTGAAAATCTAATAATTCGTGTCCAGTCCGGGGAAATAGTGAATATCTAGTAAATTCGTGTCCAGTCCGGGGAAATAGATTTCATTATCGATGGCACAGACGTCTTGAATAAACAGTCCAAAATGCATCCTTATAATCAATAACTGACGCTTAACATTGTTTACGCTAACAAGATTCCGGACCGTGTAACCAAACTTCCGATTCATGAGTTTAAGCTTTGTATCAAGAAAACCCTAACAAAGGGAGGATATTACACTGTTCGGGAATTTATAGACGATGACAATGTGTGGGCACTAGTGCCGCTGTAAGATGAGGATAACCGAGTTGACATGCATAAGAGTACAAATTGTACCTAAATGATTAAATGACTTTATTATTATTATTATTTGTAAAGGAGAAGTAAATTTGTAAAATTTACGTACTGGCCCGCTAGAACTTGCGGATATAGGCAGATATTTTTCATACCCCACAGTTTTGAACTATGGTTTTTCTAAATTTAAGAAAACCTTCTCATAAAAATTTCGTAATTTAATTAAACAAGAAGCTAACACAACTGTTAGTTATTAAAAAGTTTCCTCATTGTAGGCAATGAGTGCACTAGTGTGTTGCGGCCCTTGCTTCGCTCCGACTGCACTGGCTGAAGATGGGTCTTTATATCCGTGGCTCAGCGAAATGCTTTCGTCAACTAATGATAAGGTAAGTTTATTCTATAAATACAACATTTTCATATTAAGACATCAACAACATACTTAAGTGTAATTTTTTTATAATCAGCTTACAAAACTAACTTTTGAGGTGCCAAAATTTCTAAGAAAGACACCCGAGGTCACCGACAGCCGTCTCGCCTTTGTTATTGTTAATTGCATTAGCACGTGTGCCATTATTAATTACATTGCATGTAGGAAATTTTGGTCTCAGTTACTAAACCACCATCGTCACCTATCGTGTATTATCAGTCGTAAACAAACTTTGAAACTGTCAAGATATATATATCATAGATAGTATTATATATCAAATAACTCTATAACAAACAAAAATGCTCGGACCCTTGAAATTCGTTATACTACTACTACTGTCAAGATATATATATATCATAGATAGTATTATATATCAAATAACTCTATAACAAACAAAAATGCTCGGTCCCTTGAAATTCGTTATACTACTACTACTGTCAAGATATATATATATCATAGATAGTATTATATATCAAATAACTATATAACAAACAAAAATGCTCGGTCCCTTGAAATTCGTTATACTACTACTACTGTCAAGATATATATATATCATAGATAGTATTATATATCAAATAACTCTATAACAAACAAAAATGCTCGGTCCCTTGAAATTCGTTATACTACTACTACTGTCAAGATATATATATATCATAGATAGTATTATATATCAAATAACTCTATAACAAACAAAAATGCTCGGTCCCTTGAAATTCGTTATACTACTACTACTGTCAAGATATATATATATCATAGATAGTATTATATATCAAATAACTCTATAACAAACAAAAATGCTCGGTCCCTTGAAATTCGTTATACTACTACTACTGTCAAGATATATATATATCATAGATAGTATTATATATCAAATAACTCTATAACAAACAAAAATGCTCGGTCCCTTGAAATTCGTTATACTACTACTACTGTCAAGATATATATATATCATAGATAGTATTATATATCAAATAACTCTATAACAAACAAAAATGCTCGGTCCCTTGAAATTCGTTATACTACTACTACTGTCAAGATATATATATATCATAGATAGTATTATATATCAAATAACTCTATAACAAACAAAAATGCTCGGTCCCTTGAAATTCGTTATACTACTACTACTGTCAAGATATATATATATCATAGATAGTATTATATATCAAATAACTCTATAACAAACAAAAATGCTCGGTCCCTTGAAATTCGTTATACTACTACTACTGTCAAGATATATATATATCATAGATAGTATTATATATCAAATAACTCTATAACAAACAAAAATGCTCGGACCCTTGAAATTCGTTATACTACTACTACTGTCAAGATATATATATATCATAGATAGTATTATATATCAAATAACTCTATAACAAACAAAAATGCTCGGTCCCTTGAAATTCGTTATACTACTACTACTGTCAAGATATATATATATCATAGATAGTATTATATATCAAATAACTCTATAACAAACAAAAATGCTCGGTCCCTTGAAATTCGTTATACTACTACTACTGTCAAGATATATATATATCATAGATAGTATTATATATCAAATAACTCTATAACAAACAAAAATGCTCGGTCCCTTGAAATTCGTTATACTACTACTACTGTCAAGATATATATATATCATAGATAGTATTATATATCAAATAACTATATAACAAACAAAAATGCTCGGTCCCTTGAAATTCGTTATACTACTACTACTGTCAAGATATATATATATCATAGATAGTATTATATATCAAATAACTATATAACAAACAAAAATGCTCGGTCCCTTGAAATTCGTTATACTACTACTACTGTCAAGATATATATATATCATAGATAGTATTATATATCAAATAACTCTATAACAAACAAAAATGCTCGGTCCCTTGAAATTCGTTATACTACTACTACTGTCAAGATATATATATATCATAGATAGTATTATATATCAAATAACTCTATAACAAACAAAAATGCTCGGTCCCTTGAAATTCGTTATACTACTACTACTGTCAAGATATATATATATCATAGATAGTATTATATATCAAATAACTATATAACAAACAATAATGCTCGGTCCCTTGAAATTCGTTATAAAGAGTTTACACTGTAGTTTGTTGATATAATAATAATATGAAGCAATTATGATTTGCAAAAAAAATCCAGCAGAGATTAGAAAATACAATATTTCGATGTATGCTTTTTTATTAGATATATGAACTGGCGCGTGAAACAATAGTCCTGCTATTGGAATGTAACCCTGACATTGGGCCCTTATTGGACTGGACTGTGGACAAATGCTTCACTGGAGCTCCTAGAGTTGCTGACGGATGCTTCATGGCACTCGCTACCATCTTCAGTGCAAGGTAATTTCTTTCTAATCATACATTTATTTAGATTTTCACAGCTCTGTTATCTTCATATAGCGAGACCAGACATCATCAAAAACAAATTTAAAGTCAAAATCATTTATTCATTACGTAGGTAACACAATGTACACTTATGAACGTCAAAAATGAAATATATGAAATTCTTCTAATTTTACATTTACTGCCAGTTGTCAAATCAAGGGCGTAGAACGGAAGAGAAGATCTGGCAATAAACTCTAAAGACAGTTGTCATACGGATTCTATAATATTTAGGTTAATATCGTCATCGCCTGAGAAACCGGAGCTTACAGATTTTTGTTTAATAGTTCCCATAATTGAAACTTGTTGTTTAAGAATGTCATTGGTGGCAGACGAGGTCCTTCATGTTTCTTAGGGTATAATTATCATTATTAATAACGTCTGCCATGTGTGCTGATCATATAGAAATTTTGCTCGCCAACTCCCTAACTATAAATTATGTATTATTACTTCCATTAATTTGCCGGTACGTAGGAAGAATACAACTTAGACGTCACACAAAAGCGTCGTGGACGCTAGGTGTTACACAATCTCTTTGAAGTTTGAACGATGCTGCTCAATTTGTATAAACAAGAATTAGAGCTTGTTTATTCTATCTTGGCCAGCATCCTTGCGAGGGCTAATATTGTTTTACCGAGAATCTCGGCAAGAGGATCCTTTGTTATATTATATATTTATAAGAAAATTGTAGCCGATTACAACATTGGTTACTGTTCTAAGAAATTGTTGATTGCATTTTAGGCTTACGTTCTGTTTACGATATTGCTGTTTTTAACCCTTTCAGACATGTAGCTAAATTTAAAATTTAAAACATTTATTAAAAAGGATAAAATTATAGAAAAGGGGAAAACCTTTTTTACAGTTTGCATACAGATTTATACGCTGCTGAAAACAGCGGTTATTACTTTTTGGTGATTAGACCATGAAAATTTTGCTTTACAGCTCTTTCAGTTGTATTATTAACTGTCCTGAAAGAAAGCGCTTTTATTTTTTGCCTCTAAATAGGTATCATCTTCATTCTACGCATAAACAAAGGTCTCTAAAGGAAATTATTATCAATTTTTCATCGAGTAAGTAAACTTGTGCTCTTGGCAGACACAATAACACTTAATCGTTTTCCTGCAATAATGAGGCATTATTATCAATTTATTGATAACAGTATAATAATGGTTATATGTATTGGACTTCTACCAAACAAATAATCAGAAATATTTCTTCTGACGGATTGTCTCTTTTTAGAATCATACAAGTTCTGTCTTTGTAAGTTCATTACAATGTTCGTCTTGGTTTATTCACTGAATTCATCATCAAAGACTAATAAAACTAAAAAGGTAGAATTCGTTCGACTAAACTTGCTCAGCGCTGTCTTGGTGATCAATTTGTCAACAGTTTCATATTCCTGCACCTAGCACCTTTAAAAATCACTAATCTTGATTTGGTGCCTTCACCGCTATAGTAGACCCAAACAATAGCCTTAGTTTCACATATATAACCCCAATGAATATATAGACGTGTTGAAAGGCTCGTTTATTTTAAACTGGGATTGCAGCAACATCTTTAAAGAGTAAAGATAGATAGTTTGCTTGATGCATCGCTCCATCGCTTATTTTTTGTTTCTCTGTCTCCTTAGCAAATATCTATTAGTTCAATCAGTTCCCGGTCATCTCCACGAACAAGGGTGGTTTTGCAGTTCATTATTTTAAAATTATATACTATATTTTATAGTAAAAATATCAACAACAAATTTTCTATTGTTGTAATTAAAAATGTCGAGTCACGATATCGGTGTATGTTTCAATTGCAGTAGATTTCATATAGAGATTTCATATTCCACTGTGCATAAAATTTGCACTAAAAGAAAAAGAAAGCTACTTGTACTGTAATTTAAAGTAGTACCACCAAGTAAATTTTTGATTCGAACACACTTTTAAAAACTAGTTCATCAACTTCGTGGCCGTAGAAAAGAGTAGTAATTCCCTGTCTAGTTTTTGCTTCGAAAGTACAAACAAGTACAAGTTAGTAGCCTGATCCTGGCCGGAAGAGCTCTCCGCTTTGGGCACAGCTAGAAGCTCCTTTTATCTAAAAATCATCACAGCTAAGCTTCGCTTCTACTACAGCCTACAGTATATAAAGGGATCCCTTATCCTTATTTGAAATCTTTTTAAAGCTTACGCGTAATTAAATCTTTCCTTCCTCTTTTTGTAGTAGTTTCCAGAACTTACCATTTTAGAGGTGGAGCTGGTATTGAATAGAGAATTGGTTTAAGACTAGACTGATGATTGCTCATATATTATTTTCTCATCATTTAATTTTTTCTTGTTTTGACTTTTCGAATACCCCCTGGACGGCCCCGCTTCTCTTCGTTCTCACGTTTTTGAGTGTTTTAGGGGCAAATGAACACAACAAAGACAAAAACTAGCAAAATAACTGTGTAATATCGTGCACAGATCAACGCCTCCATCTTGCATATGTCGCAGCCAACTAGCTTAATAAGCCGTTCAATTAACAGGCTAGCCTTTTAACTAAACATCGCCGGTTAACTAGCGGCCTGAAAGATATTGAGCCACTTGATCAAACAGCTAGGCAATTGCCATGGATCGATGACGTTTTATTACTTGCCTAGCCTGTTGACTGAACAAAACTCTTCAAACTGTCAATATGGCGTCGGCAAACCACAACTTTGATGGTGTTTTCCAAAGTTGAAAAACAACAAGTACAAGGGAAGAGTGTAGTGACAATAATAATGTTAATTTAGCTTTGACTTATTATTTTGATATTTTTTTATGTCAGATGTTTAATTTTTTTGAAGTTATACTTCTTTAGGCGCGTTATGAAAAATTGATGAGAGTGACATTTTACGATGCGCGCGCACCGTGACACAAAATTAACAGAAGTTGTCCACGGAAGATGCTACGGCATTGGACATAATTTAAAAACAACATTCGAATAATAATAAAATTTATGTTACTCTTAACGTAAGAGAATAATAATAAATATTTATTAATTAAATGTTTTAACTGTAAACTGAACTTTATTGACTATAATGACACCATTTCCAGTCTTTGATTTTTTAATTGTAATTAATTATTTGCATGCAATCAAAAACTATTCTTAATAATGCCAAAGAAGTATAACTTCTTACGCGCGTACATAAGTACACGCACCCTTTTTTTTATTTCTGCCACACGGTCGCTCTATCGCACGAATGGCCTAAGCATTAGTCAGCCAGTTTATTAAATGTTGTTACAAACGCATATCATGAATATCTTTCAGGCCGCTAGTTAAACGGCGTTGTTTGGTTAAAATGCTAGCCTGTCAATTGACCGGCTTATTAAGCTACTTGGCTGCGACATATTTAAAAAGAATTGTCTGTTTCATACCACGTTAGCTTCGCATTTCACTTAGCGTAATGTCGTGTTTAAATTAACGTACCTGCGACGTTATGTCAGTTATTAATAACTATCGTCGTTACTAAGACCGATTGAGTTACTAACGATGGCTAACGTCATTTGTTAGTCTAGAGCTTTCAGTCGGTAAGTTAGTTAATGGTTCATTTTACGAACGACATAAAGCAGCCTAAGAGTCTCTTTTTAAATGTCTAGTTGTTCCTTCTTTCACGACCGTATTTTAAATTTTAACCTGTGTCATAAAATTTTCCACGTCGTCGCCTATTGCACTCAAAGTAAAAGCAAGATTATTGGGTCTTTTAACACGTCGAAAATATTTATAATAACAATAACACAATACACAATTGGAATTTCGTCTTTTTTAATATGTGTTCGGGTCAATTATGGGCAATATTTACAATTTCGATATACACAGGCATAAATGACCTGAGATAAATTGATTGTATTACGATGGGTGTTCAATAAATAGTGATAAAGGTACACATTCACCATGGAAAAAAACACTGTCGTGCATAGCTCAGACATTAGATGTATGAAAAAAAAAATATAATACAATCAATTCAATTTTATAATAATACTAGCTGCCCCCGCGAACTTCGTTTCTCCTTAATGTGATTTTACTTGGCTTACCTTTTAAGTACATATCTACCAACATGGAACATTTTGCTATGCTACCCTAGAGACTGTTCGGTTTTCTGAAACTTTTTAGGTTTTTCTGTGAACTTTTCTCTATATAAACCTCAGAGTTCAAGTCATGTGATTTTAATTAACAAATAAAAAATAGGGGTTGATCGTAAAGGGGTGAGAATGAGGGGTGAGAGTTGTATGTATTTTTTTAACATTAACATTTTATCTAAAAAATTAAATGTTAGGGGTGGACAACCCTTATTATTTAGGGGTATGAAAAATAGATAGTAGCCGATTCTCAGACCTACTGAATATACATATAAAATTTGGAGGAGTATAGTAACTAACATAAAATTAGTAATTTGTTTGGATAAAATTAAAGTTGGAGTAATCATATTTTATGACTCCCTGCTTAAAATTTTCATAACAAAATGAGTTCATGCTCTTCCATATTCTACGGTTTCTTATTGGTCTGTCGGTTCAAGCGAGGCAGAAATTCCATTAACGAAGACCCGCGCACGGGTCGACTTACATCGGTAGTGACTGCACAAATGATTAAAAAAGTTGAAAACATTGTCTTGGCAAAACGTCGTGTTGTTGTTTGTTTTATAGTTAAAGAAATTACGTTTTCTTTAGGAATTGTCAATTATACAAGGTGTCTCGAAAGAAAGTTCATATTTAGTTGATCGATTAAAAGAAAAGTAAGTCGTGTATAAAAAAAAGTGTTTATTTTTTATTAAAGTATACATTTTGGGAATTTATTTCATACAAATAATACCGTCCAAATGTGTACCCTCTCGTTCGCTGCACTCATTTAATCGAACAATAAAATTACTTATGACGGCTCGGCAGGTGGACTCAGTGATGGCTGCCATTTCGTGACGGATATTTTCTGTCATTTGCGCTAGAGAAGTCGGCCAATAAGGTGTTGACTTTAGATTTAAGATAACCCCATAAGAAAAAATCCATAGGGGTTAAATCAGGACTGCGTGGTGGCCAATGTAACTCACCTCTCCTGGAGATCAATTTGCCTGAGAAAATTTCACGAACTCGTGGCAGAGACGTATTGGACGTGTGTGTTGTCGTCGACGTGACGTGATGTTCTTTGGTTATAGCCAGGAAAGTTTTGAAGTTCAGGCACGAAGAAGTCGTCTAACATTTTCACAAAACGCTCTGAATTGACTGAGAATTGAAGTGTGCACCCCCTTTCGTCTTCAAAAAAGTAAGGGCCGATAATTCCTCGCGCTGAGCTAATCGCAGCCCATACTGTCACTTTAGGCGAATGAAGAGGTCTCTGATGCTTGCGTTTCAGATTCGTTGCACTCCAGTAGCGGCAATTTAGCTTATTTACGTGTCCATTAAGATGAAAATGAGCTTCGTCCGAATTCAAGATGTTGGTAAACGTTGAAAAGCGCTCAGTTACTTACGAAGTCAAGCCTCTGACTGGAATTGAATTTTGAAGGGGTGCAGCTTTAGGTCTTTGCGTAAAATTCGGTGTAATGAAAATCTATGCACATTTAAAGCACTAGCGCGCGTAAACTTTCTTTTGAAATACCTGTTATTATACACAACCATTTAAAAAAAAATCAGTCGCGCTACAACCTCTTTAAGTCTTGGCCTCAGATTTATTAATCTGTTTCATGATCATTTATATACACAACCATTTAGGTAAGAAAAAGACTAGACAACAAGATCTTGACAGATTACTATGGAAGAAATGGCTTCATCATTGCATGTCATATGCAAACAGACTTCAAATAGACCGTCCGAAGAAATTTAAGTTAGCTTAAGGTTATTTTGTTTCATCATTAGTATTTTCCATTAAATATTCACCGGACCTAGCTCCTAGTGATTACTACATATTTCGGCGGCTTAATTAACATCTTAGGTGCAATATTTAAAAGCTGATGACACAGTAGTCGCCGCGGTACACGATTTTAAAGGGATCAGGAAGATTATAAAAAAAATCTACTTTGAAAAAAGGTACACTTAAGTGGTGTTTACGGCTTAAAATAAAATATGTAATAAAAGATAATTGCGAGTAGGTATGTCGTTATTACTTTATATTAAATACCCCTCGTTTAACGAACTCAAGAAAATGTTAGGGATCTATATCAAAGGTGCAATTCGAATGCAATAACAAGACGGAATAAAGAATTTCGAAAACACGAATACTTTTACACAAACGGATCTCTCGTTTATTATCTCTATTATGTGATGCCTCGAGCTATCCTAGAGCTATATAGCTCTCCTTACTTTGACATTTTCGTAGGATAGATTAAACATAGTTTGAATTCCCGTTATCCAGTGAGTCAGACATACTTCCTATGTTTCATGGATAGCTTTTTTATTATATCTAAACATGATATTTTATTTCTGTGAAGGTAAATCAGGTCCTCTAAGTTATACACCACTAGCGGTCCGGGCACGGGTGGACATTTATTTTTTAATCATTGTTTGTAGATATTGATATGTCCTTTAATAGGGTATTGTAAGTAGGGATCCTAATTTTTTTTAAATAAAATAGCCTGTATTAATCAGTCATAATGTAGAATTCAAATGGTGAAAGAATTTTTAAAATCGGTCCAGTACTTTTTGAGCCAATTCGTTACAAACATGCTTACATACAAATCATTCCTCTTTATAATATTTATACACCGTAAACGTAACTATATAGCCACGGAAGTGGAACATGTATATTGAAGAAAAAGGCTCTAGGAAAAGGCTGACAAATGTATAAGCCTGCATGTTTAAACGAGTGACGGAACGGAGTGCGGGTTCACATTAACTGGTCGATTATATTAAAATTCAAAATCATTACGTAGGTAACAATGTACACCTATGAACGTCAAAAAAAATATATGAAATGCTCTAATTTTACATTTACTGCCAGATCTCAAATCAAGGACGTAGAACGGAAGAGAAGAACTGGCAATAAACTCTCCGCCACTATTTTTAATCGCCAAGGCTTTTTGTTTTACACAACGTTTGCAAGGAGCTGCAACCATTACACCATGTTCCACATGACATCTTAAGTAATTAATAATAATAAAATAAATTAAAAACAAAGATTTGTCCTCTACCAGCAGGAGGCATGGTGAAATAGTAGCACGCACTTATATTCTCGTGGGAACAAGACGCAAATATGTTTAAAGAGATTGATTTTCTTGTTTTGTTGTAGGGAGTACCCCTGCGATCATTACACAGCTATCATTAATGTGACACTTATGTGTACCGGCTGTCCGCGAGCCCCTGTCCACGAGAGTGCCTTACAACTTTTACAACTACTAGATAAGCGGTTCTTCGGCACTGTTGGACCATTGCCCGTCGAAGATGATAATGGTGAGTTTTTTTTATAATTCTCATAAATTTGTTGCAGCCGGGAGAACGCTTAAATTGTATACTACTCGCAAAAATACTACTCGCACCCTGATTCCCTTAGCAGGAGAGGATTTTTGTCTTGTATTAATCGTATTATATCAATTATATGTATTTTATTCGTTATGCAGGTTTATTTAATTTTTAATTTACTGATGGACGAAAATGAAAGAAGTTAGTAGTTAGTATAGTAAAAAAAAAGTAGTTAGCAGTATGGATTCCCGGGCACTGCCTCACCCACTGCTTCGGTAAAAAAAGCTGTTTCGGAGGCAGCGCCCGCCTAAAAAAAAAAAAAAAAAAAAAAAAAAAAAAAAAAAAGTTTGTACTCTAACCCCACTAAACAGGACGTGTGGAGTCGAATGCACTCACTCCTGAAGTGATAGCTCTAACCGTTCCAGAGATAGCTTTCCCAAAACCTTGCTAATTACTTACTAATCACCACCTTATCAGTTACTATTTCCTGCACGAAATCCCCACTCATTATCTAATTACTTAATGACTCAGTACGAATGCATCGTTATCTACTTTCCTACATTCACTAACCCGATCTATGGCTCTAAAAGAAAAATAGAATAAACTATATCTAACCTAACCTACGGGTCTAAGCAAACAACAATAAATATACCTACATTAACACCATTATCTATAATAAAATTAGATGTAAGGGTTACATATTTAAATAAAACATTTTTATTCCAGGTATTATTCTTTTATTTATATGTCCATTATATTTCTATACAAATTTACTAGCACCGTATCATTGTTCTCTGAGTCACACGTAAAATTTCTAAGGAAGTCTTCTAATCTCATCCCCCCTGAACTTGTAATATATGTATACCAAACAGTACTCTCCGCACACCGCCGATAGGTAATCCTGAACCGTAAGGCTATTGTATCTCCACATGCAACAATTCCTCCTTAAAAATCCTTCTATTGCTTCAATAGGTTTACATCCAAACGAATCAAAGTATTCGCCAACTCTTTCGACGTTTATATGAATAGCCACCCAATGAGACCCCGGCTGTGAATCAGGGTCAAGATTGCATATGATAAGTGCTGGCACCTGAGCATACATCGGCAATCGATTTGAAGGATATACGTTGCTCTGGAGGCTGGGATGTATTCTACGAAGACTCATTTGCACTTCTAGTGTGTTCATACTTTAATACGCGTTTACTCCCCTACTCTTTCACTCTTTTACTGACTACATTTATTACTATCAATTCATATTTGTACCAATGTATTTAAACACACATAATATGATCTCAACATAAGTAATGAGTCTCTTTGTAAAAAAAGTAATAAAGGTAAATAAAAACCATGTCATATTCCATTACATTATATTTTATTATTCTTAATATCATAATAATTACATAAGTGATTGCTTAACTACTATAATCCACACATACATTTCTGTTCTTATCTATTTCTATAATATTTGAAAACTCTGCGTAAACTACACAGTTAATTGTTTCAGTCAATGCGCTCTCGAATCTTACTTCCATTCTTACACTACCATGGCGTACAAGATTCCAATGCACATTAGAGTTAGCCGACAAGTCAGGTGTTAAATCAAAAGCTAGTAAACAGTATCCATTTGAATATTGCTCCCTCGATATTCCATTACCTTCGTTAAGAAAATGTATACCGGTGCCTGAGTACAGGGTGTGGTATGCGCTAGTAAATACATCGTTTGGAAATGATGGTTGTAACGATTTTGAAGGTATCTGTTGACCATCTATATATAGGCTAAATGAGCAAATACCAAAATTTTCAAAGTTGAAAGGATTTTTAACATAACTACCGTTGAATGCTGTATTATTCACAAAACCTATAATACATCTCTTAGGAACCTGTCCTAAAATATACTTCAAAAAGTAATGAAGCTAAATAAAAACCGTGTCATATTCGTTTATAAATATTTTAATATTATAATATTTACATGTAATCGCTTAACTACTACACACATTTCTGTTCTTATCTATTTCAAAAATATTTTAAAAATGCTTTGACTATTAAGATTGCAAAGGGTATTAGAGTGCCCTTTGTATTTATTATCCACATTTTACTAATTGGTATGCATACTTGTTCAAACATGCAGTCGAGCTGAATATCGTAACTAGATAACGATATCCATTACCAGTCTATATAACCCGATACTTGTAGAAAGATTTAGTATTGTGCTCTAAGTTTGACAAAGTTGAAGTGGTTAAAAGTTTGAAATAATATACAATGGAGGTAAGTTTAATATTTAAACTATTTAAGGTTAAAATTCTTAAGCGTGTGTATAAATTTGTTTGAATATTTATTGAATAGTATGTTTCAGGGAACATACAATCTGAAAGATGTTGAAAATTGTTTTAAACCCTATAACTACTATACTTCATTATCTGAAGAAGACGAGACGTCTCCATCTATTATAAAGCATAAAAGAACTTTAGATGATTTGTTTGTACAAGAACCAAAACAGAAAAGGAAAAAAGTGATATTATCTTCAACTGCTGGTCGATCTATAAATGAAGGCACTATTAATTATATATCAACTAATAAAAATGACGGTGAAGAGTCTGATCTCATGATAAAAATTGAAGTATATGACCTTAACAAATTAAGAGAAATTCCGACATCGCAACATTGGAAAAATGCTGATATTCGAATTAAATACTATACAAAATGTAATTCAAATATGAATAATCAAATAGAAAGTATAGTTTATAACATCACTAAAGAAATATCAGAAGTTGATACTGTAAAGCATTACAGTTTTAAAAACTAAATAATAAAATATGACTTAAATAATAATATACTATATAAAATAAATACTTAAGTTTTTGTATTGTAATAATTTGGTAGTAATGACGCTCCTGATCTATTAATAGCGTTACATTCCTTGGACTTTAAATCATTGATGAGTTAACCTGAATTCATTGAACATTATGGAGGGAGTAATGTGGGAATGTGAACTGCAAAATGAAGAATATGTAAATGAAGAACTGAAGAAAAATAATCTTCAAAATGCTTTTTATGACAGTGCAATGGTTGAGTTATGTGGTGAAGTGGAAAAGCAATTGTAAGTATTTTGTAATTACGTGCTTTAACTTTATAAAATTTTATTTTATTTAATAATAAAAATGTTTTTTCTTAGGCAGGAACAAACTGGACGAGGTAATAAACGAAAACCACAACATGATTCTCATATGGGTAATAAGAAACGATTTAAATCTGAAACACCGTTGACTTCTACGCCGGAGGCATCTACTTCAAATAATAGAGGTAAACCATTAAACTCAGTCATATGTAGTGTATGTAATATGTGTGTATCCAAGAAGTATTTTGCCAACCACCTAAGGAGTAACATGCATAAAAATAATTTAGTTAAAATACAACATTCTCTTAAACCAAATGTAACGATATATGAGAATGCTTTTGGAAACAGGATATTAACATATAGAGTTACTTCAGAACATGAGAATACTTCCGATTTTGAAACACCCGATTTATTTCTCACTTCTGTAAAAGAAACAATATTTACTCTAATTAAAAATTTTACCGAGATTCATACAATTTTAAAAATAAATTTTATTTTGTATGCTGACTTCGTGCAGGAGACTAAAAATATTACTAATACCTTTGATTTCCAATCTATGAATTTTATTGTTTGTGTTGAGGATGATTTAAATATATTTTATACATCGTTGTCCAAATCTCTCGTGAATTATGTTAATTCATTTGAAAAGAAAGATAGTGGTTGGAGTTTAAAAAATATTCTGTACTTAGATATAAATGTAAACAAATTTAACCCATTACGGGGTGGGTCTTATATCGATTTACCTCATGATATTAAAATTAAAAAAAGCTGTTGTGAATGTAAAAAATACTGATGATGCATGTTTTAAATGGGCTTTATTGTCTGCATTATTCCCAGTACTTAAGAATTCAGATCGTGTATCTTCTTATTCTAAACATAGTAGTAAATTAAAGTTCGATAATATTAAATTCCCTGTTAAATTTCGTGATATACCTAAAATTGAAAATCTGAATAAAATTAGTATAAATGTTTTTGGTTTAGAATATAATGAGCAAACTAGAAAACATATTGTTGTAGGCCCCCCTATATTTTACAAAAAATAGAATGTCGACTCATATAAATTTGCTATCTTTAACACAAGGTAAAATAGGGCATTATTGTTTCATAAAAAATATATCAAGATTAATAAGTAGTCAAATTTCAAAGTCAAAAGAAGCTATTTACTTATGTGATTTTTGTTTGTTATACTTTCGATCGCTTGAACGTTTAAAAAACCACCAGAAAAATGATTGTCGACACATTTATACACAATTACCCAGTACCGCTAATAATAAAAGAAACTGGTGTGGTGAAATTGTTTCAGACTGCAAATTAAACTTTGATAAATTCCAACGAAAAATTAAATTACCCTTTGTTATATATGCAGACTTTGAGGCATTATTAAGTCCAATAGCATCGTGTTCAAATAATCCAACAACGTCATCCACAATTAATATACAAAGACATGATGTTTATAGTTTTGGATATTACATTAAATGTTCTTATGATGATAAACTTTCAAAATATTTAACATATACTGGGGAAAATTGTGCATTAAAATTTATGCAATTCTTACAAGAAGATTTAAAAAATATAACAAAAAAACATTTTATTTCAAAAGCCAACTTGCCCTCTTTCATTTGAAGAACAACATTTAATTAAAACATATCAAACTTGCTACGTGTGTAACAAAAATTTAAATGGTGAATCAATGGTATACCACGATTGGTATACTGGTAAATTCAAGGGTGTTGTCCATAATATATGTTTCGAAAAATTTAGAGCCCCATTAATGATTCCAGTTTTCTTACATAACTTAAGTCACTACGATGCTCACTTTATCGTTCATGCTTTGAACTTTGAGGAAGGCCAAGTTGATGTTCTTCCTCAAAATAAGGAGAAATACATTTCTTT